GTGAGGGTCCGGCCCGTTGGGAGCCGCCAGACCAAGTGAGGGTCCGGCCCGTTGGGGAGCCGCCAGACCAGTGAGGGTCCGGCCCGTTGGGAGCCGTCAGACCAAGTGAGGATCCGGCCCGTTGGGAGCCGCCAGACCAAGTGAGGGTCCGGCCCGTCGGGGAGCCGCCAGGCCCGGCAGCGCGACAGAGTCGTGATCCTACCTCACCTGGTGCCCGGTGAACAGGTCTCATTCTCGTTGACTCATGTTCACTGACGGTCGCGGTTTGTATATTTTGATACTGGGTCACCGTTGGACGTCAGGGCCGAACGCGTCTGCCCTTTCTGATAAAAGGGCTATGGGTTCCTTCACGTGGTGGTTTTAAATATATTATTCTTATGCTGTCCTTGCTAGAGATACTCGTGCATAATCGTGTATAGGACAGACACACACACATTCTACAGTCAAAACTAGAATCACCGACAATCGTGTTTCTGGCTCGTCATTGTTTTAGCCATAAAATTGACCCCTGTTGAAATCTCCGTTCGCTTACATCTAGTTGTATTTGTATCGTTCGCTTTAAGCGATGCATGTAGTGTTGAACCGATCTTGTTGCAGCGGTGCTTGGTTCAGCTCGGCTCAGCCGCAGTGTGTGCGCTCGAGCGGCGTGACTCCACGGCTGGGTTACAGCGACTGCCTGGGCCTAGCAAACTTTGGGCCATGCCGCGGGATGCAGCCCTGCGTTTCCGGGACGGTCGAGCGTACCCCTGGGCATGGGTTCCTTTAGGGACGGCGACGACCTTGGTGGCCGCTGCTTCCGGTAACAAGTGGGTCGCCTCCCTTTTGTTGTGGCCGTGGTCGCGGCGCGGCAGGCCGGCATAGGTTGTGCTGTCCTCGGGGGCGCCTTGACGTACTAAGTGCCGCAATGCGCCAAAGGGTATATCGGTCGGCTCTGGCGGCCCCACTCCGTGTTCTCCGGGGCGAATTGTTCTCGCAAATTTGTCCACAATTTGATTTAGTTACGCGTTACGGCACAGTGAAACACCCGCGCTTCTTTTCGCGGCTTATGATTGGCATCCTTTTTCCTGCGTTGGTAGAGAATATTATGCCCCACACGCCAGGGCTGTGTCATGATTTAATGTACTTTCGGGGCATTGCGAATTAAAGCTGCTTATCTCTACAGTATTACATTTTATAAAGCTTTTTGTGGCTATATAGGCTAATTAAATGCTTTCCGTCCCTCAACCATGGATATCGAGAGCAAATACAAATGTTGCAGTGTATTTTCCGAATACCGTGACAATTCATGGACGCATCAGTGTCAGACGAACGACATATATTTTTTGGTACATGCGTATCCTAGCAACCGCCAAAAGCGGTGTTAGAATAGTGCTGAGCGAAATGGCCGAGCTATCAATGTTCTGGCAAAAATGTTTTGTCTTACCAAATATCAGTGGTAATGACAAATAGATTTATAATATCATTTTGTAAATACATTTATATTTACTGTAGCTCAACAACTGGCTTTCAAGAACAACGAGAAACAAGGTTTTGGAGCAGGAAAGCTGAGGCCACTAAAACCTACACTGTCGAGCATATATTGGATGAAAGCGATGGAAACGCAGCGACACTTCCCCAACTATTTTGCGTTCGCTTCTTTCTGTTATTTTTATGCGTTCTTTTTTTGTGAGCAGTTTAGCCGTCAACAGAGCCGTCCAATGGTCATAAGATCGCCACGTGGTCCAGGGCCTTAAGATCGCATTTCGTTGAGGGCCTCGACTTCTCGGGCCGCGGACAAATCGCAGCTGAGCTAGCGATCTTATGCCCGGCCCCTTTTCTTTCTCTCACTTCCACATTACTCTGTCGTAAAGGCGTGGATCCCTACAAAATAGCACGTCATACTGATGAAAATCCGGATGGATGCAGGCCTTCTTGAGGTATTTTGGACGATGCAATATTTTCGATCTCATATCCAATCTCTGACTCACTTCTGCCACTCAGTCTTCAGATACCAAAGGAAAACATAAAGACATAGGAACCTAAATGTACTCTTAGAAATGTGCCTAAGGCACCCACATGAGGAACGTAAGGAGAGAATGGGAGCGTAATTTAACAATTGAGGGAATAAACATTTGGACCCCGACCTAGACTCAATTGCACTCATTTAGTACATCCAAACCTCACGTTTACCGTACCCAAGGTCGATCAATCCCGTGCTCAATGCTCTCCTCAATAAATTCGGCAAAACCAGAGCTCTGGTGAGAATCTATGACCAATAAACATTATTAGTAATTGCACACGCTCCCGGACATCCGTTCTGAAAGCAACGGGACCTAAGCCATGTTACTTATACAGGTGCCTAGATTGCTAGTTTATTCCATGTCGTAAATTGTATCAAGAACAACGTAAAACCGGAATCCGGGATGATCCAACGAGAATACCCAATGCACGGGATCCCAGTTGGAGCAGACAGGTCTCGCGCTACGTCAACTGACACTTCCCATCATTTCTTGGAAGCCCG